ATGGCCTGCGGATCATCTCGTCAGTTTATCATCAAATCTTATGTATAACACTTTAAAGTTGGGTTGTTCTATGGGGTATAATAACGATTAACTTTCTTGCTGCATCATATGATCGTGACATCCGAAAAAAATCTATCTTTGTTTCAAATTCGAATATACTGATTTAAGGGCGAAATAAATTATCCAGCCTGCGATGATGATGATTCGACCAAACAGTATCATCTCTGTCCCGCCTACCGTGACTTTATAATGATCGATGACGGCTATCGACGAGGTAGATCTGGTCCCAACTTCGACTCCTATGCTGCTGGAATATGTGAGAAAATTCGAGCACCAAAAACGGGTTAGTTTATTTTAGTATTTTGCTTGATGTAGATGTAGATGTTTTGTAGATAATTTGTAGATGTTTGTCACTAAAGGTTAGACTACCTCATAAATCTAAGGGTTTAGGAAAAGTATAATTTCCATGCGATTTTACCATAAAAATTACATTTGCAAATTTCGATTTTGTCTTGAGTTAAATGTTACTGGTAAAAAAAACTCATGATTGTTATCGCGTAATTTTGGTCCTCGCTTAGGATACTAACACTTTGTTTTAAAATCGAAAAAAACCCTGATTAATGTGTTAGGTAGGGTTGTTTAAAAGGCATAATGTCAAATGTTATGTCCATCATATTGTAACCTCACTGTTAAAGCAATATTAAAATGAAAAAAAATAACTTCTACCCGCTAATGCATTTCTTTACTTGATACAAAATAACGCGAGTTCGTCCTAGCCGCTGATAACAGAAGTATTATTTCTAACCAGCGTAATACTAATTCAATATTTCCCCTGTGTTTTAATTTAACTGAAATTCATTTGTTGTTAATTTTGTAATTGGGATCGATACATTTGGGCGGGTCTCCGATTTTTTATATATTTTTTGTTAATTAAACTGTCTTTTATTAGTAACGCTAGATAAGCTAGCAGAAAGGCTCTTCAAATTACAGTTACGCTATATCCATACGAGGAGAAAGATAACGTATTTGTTCGAAACAATTAACATCTTAGTTTTAATTATCAAAACTTTACGTAAGCAAATGTCTTTCTGATTTTTTAGGAAGTCATGCTCTTGACCTTCCAATAAACTGCTTTTAAGGCTAAGCATATCAACCAATACATTTCACTTTGCGCTATATTTTACTTATTTTCTGTTCTTATCTAAAAGGTTTGATTAAATTGAAATGTGCAGTTACGGCAGAATGCACTGCAACTATGTGATTCTTTTTTTTGCAGAAAAAGGCTGGGGTCTGCCCGTGATTTTAGTGGTCGCTGGCGGAGACTATGAAGTATTACGAACTGTTTTTGCCTACACAGGAATTGGTCTGCCAGTTGTGGTTATACGAAATAATGCTGGTGCACCCAATGCTCTTTGGGAAGTTCATAAGCTTTATACCAATTCCAGGTAGAGGGTTTCTGTTTGTATTTTTTGCCTGATCATACATCCAATGCACTTTTATATTAATTTGTTGTACTTCGAACAGTTATTAGATGGTACAAATTTCAGATGATACTATTTGGGAACTAACTGCTGCTTAAGCTTGCAGGCTGTATAACGGACCTTCTCGAGCCTACACAGTTTTATGGATGACAATTTGCTCACCATCGTAAGAGCCTCTATGCTTTAGTGCATATTTACTTCCTGATAATCTATCATTCTTATTTCTTTTAGAAAAGATGTGACTCAACTTAAAAATGGTATCAAGCGCATTCTTGTCGAAAATCTTTCCCTACAGGATTCACAACCGTTAATAAAGGAGATGATAAAAATCTGCAGCCGAATCGCGGAGCGGTGGGACTTAATTAAATTTGTAAGCCTAAATGAGGAGTCGGACTTGGATATCATTCAGTCCATTACTGTCGAAACAGCTGAGAATGATATAGGAGCAGTCAAGTTGGCTGTTAAACTTGACAGAACGGATCTGGCTAAGGAACGTCTGTCGTCGGTCCAAAAACTACCGGATGTCTGTGAGTTTGCTCGATATGTTCACCTTAAGTTTCACGTCCAACGACCCATATATATGTTTTGGTTGCGCATGTGACAAATTTTCACATGTCGTCTGTGCAGTTTGCACCCAGATTTCTTCTCTTTAATGTAGACCATGTTTCTGGAGATGCTACTGAAGACTGTAGAA